CTTCTACGATCATTTTCGTAATGTCATAACACGAGACAACGCTCGGTCTACCCTACCCTTTTTGTGAGTCAGCTTTTTGCGAGCACTTAGAAAATGCTAATAGTCTTCCCTTCTTCTGCTTCCTGCTTTGCCCCAGCAGGGCCCATCTTATCTCAAGCAGATATTTTTACAAATAAAACATAATGGTGGCTGACGTAGGCTTGATATTCTGGGCTTGAGGAAAGAGGGAAATTCGTGAGTGGGGCCATAGCGCGGCTTACTTAGTACTCTACCCTTTGCTGCCGGTGGCATCAGCGGGCGTCTATCTGGAGAATACCGGAGTAAACTGCAGTCGGTCCGTGCTCCGTGCATTTTTGAACGGCACCAAGAAAGGTACACACGGCAAACGTGCGTTTACATATCCTTGTTTTAACCGACGTTCTAATTAATTGTTGTTATGAGTGTCATTCTTTTTTTATTACTTATATTTATATACGTGAAACTTTATTTTATTCACCAACGTCTCAAGTGAGGCTCGAACTCTTCAGAACCAAAGGAAGAAGAATATCGAGCCAAACATTATTTATTATTTAATCATCACCTTACTATTACAACTATGTTTTGCTATTGATGACTTCCACAGCTTCACGATTTAGACAATGGAGAATTTTAGTAGATCGGTCCGATGACTCCGATCACAATATCCGATACTTCGCCGCCGTCTATGCGTAGGCATCATATCGTTATCGCGGGTATCGGAGGTATTGGAAGGATCTACTAAATCTCTCGAATAGCAGGCAACGGCTGCAACGACGAAGCTTTGCTCTACATTCGAGGTAAATAGTACTTCCCTTGCTTCGCTGAAAAAGCTCAAAGCAGAGCATGAAGCATTCGTGAGGAACAATATGGCACTCCCATCCAGTGCCTCAGCTCAAATGGTGTTCAGCGTAGCAGTCGACATATTGAGTAAGAAATAATGCAAAATGTCTGACGAGACTTTTGAGGGCCAGCTGTTGCTCAAAATACTCAAGGTCATTAAATGGAACACGTTACAACAATAAGAACTTGAATAACCCTCTTCCCTTTGTTTCTTACTTGAGGACAATAATGTTAAAAGTAACGCCACGAAAGTAACGGATTACTTTTTGGGGTAACGGTCAGTTACTTTTATGGGAGGGTAATTGTAATTGTAATAAATTACAATTTAGCCTTGAGTAATTGTAAATGTAATTCGTTACTATTTTTCAGTAACGTGTACAAGTCTGGGTACACACACATCAAAGCATCGGCCGAAGAAACATTATTTGACCTCACAACCCCTCTTATCTTGAAGTAGTTGCAAAGAAGTAGTTGAAGTAGTTGCAAAGAAGAAAATGTGCCTCAGTTCAGTATATTGAAAAGTAGTTTTTAGCGTATGAGCAAACTAGGGGCAAAAAACCTAACTGCATAAAGAATACGCTGTAGACTGGGACGTTTTTAATTGAAATAGTCTAAAATATTGTGATAACGGATCCGTTTCTAACCGGATTTCAATTTGGGTTTTGCTATATTTCATTAAGGTTGAATTTGTAGCCTCATCCAGTATTGGCAGGACACTTAATCACATTCTTGGCATAAGCCTGAAATAAAGTAAAAAAAGAGCCGTAGACGCCACAAGGAACATTATGCCCACTCACCTGGATTTGCCATACAGCTGCATACAACTTGTTAGCAGGCTGTGGTTGCATTGAAAAGATAGCTTTCCCTAATAGTGTATAGTGTGATGTGACGAATGAGATAAGGAAAGAAACATTGAAATGTTCACCTCACTCCTGAAGCTTATGGCTTTGGAAAAGCTATTTATTATTTGCATGCAAATTACTTACTCTATGGTTTCACCGCAATGCACAAAAGGAAAAGCCATCTTCTCAGGAGAAAAAAGTAGTTTGTCCTTGCAAAGCTGAATACCTAGTATGCTCTTTTCTATGTAGTGAGATAAACAGGTGCCTTATTATATGCACATGCTGCATGTGCCTCTCACGAATACATTCAAACGTGCTTTGACATAATTCTGCATAAAATCTCTCAAGGACTCGTTTTGTCCTTGTGTGTTCTATTTCTAGTCACCCTCATTTTGTGTGAACCCAAAGGACATGGGGTCGTGTGTTTCTTGTGGCAGTCTATTTAAAAAAAGACAACAATTACTCCTATAGCTGCCGTCTTTTAAAGTTCTTATCCTCAAGTTTACTTCTGACGTAAATGTCCTCCTTGAAAAGTTTTCAGACATGAAACCATTCCTATTTGTGGCACTTGACAAACAAGTTGAACAAATATGCCTGGCAAAATTTATGTCATGTCTATGACATATTCTGAGTCACATCTATAGATAAACAGAAATTAAAAGGGTGAGTCAGTAAGGAAACATGTTTTGAACACAGGTTTATTGAAGAACAGTGTTGCATTTATGTTGCGACAACCACAAATTGATCAAAGCAATCTGTCTGAGGATCTAGATAGTACTCCTTTTTATGTAGAATATTTTTAACCCAACAAAAAGGAAGAACCTAAGAATTGTAAATACAAAAAAAAATATCATAGCCATAAATTTTCTTGCTTGCAATTGTAATTACACTCTGTCTCTGTAATGTTTGCTCTTGCTTTCTAGGCCCTTTGACTCAATGAATGAGTAAAATTTTTAAGCTTGTTTCTCAACACAGGGTAATAAGGTAAACCACATATTGCACAGCATTCAGGGAAACATACATATGCATATAACCAAGACAAAAAATAATTGCCCTTACACATGCACATGCCAGAAGGATAGTTCGACTCGTGAAACTCTTAGCCACCATGAAGGGCACAACAAGCACTTCTATCATAATAAAAGGTAATCAGTTCCATGTATATTTCTGGCAGCCACAAGTTGGTTTGAACTGCTATGGACATTCTATATATTTGTTGTGGGAAATCAAGAAAAATGCAGCACTGCTACTAATGCAGGGACCTGCATCCTGCAGCATTTACCACATTTAAACTGACGATGCTTGTAGGGCCATCAAAGTATATAAACTTGAACTTCGTTGAGGTGTGGTAACATTTATGTAATCGTTATGCCCAATCTCTTTTTTTACCTGTGATTTACGACTCCATCACACCCTCTGAACGTAACGCATGTCAACCAATCCTGGAATATTTTACAGACACCATTTCTCAAGGCATTCCGTGTTTGGTTCAAAACAATTTTTCAAATATCATGGTCTAGACATGCCAGGCTTTTTCTATTCTTGAGAAGCGCTGCATTTCCTAGTAACATGCCTGTGCTGCCCATGCTAATCCAAGGTTCTTATATTCTAAGTTTGAATGAACTCATACCTGGCCAATGGTTAACAGCACCAAAACTAAATCATCTTTAAAAAAACTTTTCTTGCAGTAACAAAAACAAATGTGTTGGAATATGCTATACTACCTTACAGTCCTTTAGTGTTGAAGGATTACCGGAGAAGAACCTGGAAGTTTCACTGTCATATACTAAGAGGCATGGCAGTTTGCCAGGTTAGAGTACAGTGTACTGGGAAGTCAGTTTGAAAATTATATACAATGTCAATGGTAAAAAATAATGAAATAAATCATGTTCAAAAAGACTCGTTTTCCAAATAATAAAATTGAATATGTCAAAAGACATTACACAGTACTCCTGCAGTGTCATAGAAGAAGCAAATCAAAAATCAAATTTGCAAGTTTCACTGCCATATAAAGAACTATGGCAGTTTGTCAAGTCATCCCAGGTCACTGGAATGTCAGTTTGGAAAATATATAGTACATTGTCAGTAGTAGCTTCTAAATAAATCATCATGAAATCAAGTATTGCCTTATAGTATTAAAAATACAGTGTAAAATGTGTTATACGGTTAGGTACTCCTCCAGTGTTGGAGGAGCGACAGAAAAGAACTTCGAAGTTTGACTCTCGTACAAACAGGTGTGGCAGTTTGTCAAGATTACGCCTACCTTGTACATGATGGGCAACTGCTGAAGAAACAACTTTTGATTTTTTTTGTAATCAAGAAAAGCGAATTCAGTGGCCACTTTCCCAAAGCCCCACTCAACTGATTGGCGGACTCGGCTCATCTTGTAATTAAATGTAGCCTGCCCCACAGTGAGGCTCGCACCCCCAAAGGGGCGTTGCAGCAGCTCTCGGTGAGGGTAGGCGGGGTCCCCGTAGAGAACGAAGGGCTTCGGGTTCATCAGCACCTCCAAGTCTGCGTACAACCCACTCTCCCTCAAGATGCCTGCAGAATAACGAAAATTATAGTTAAATTATATCATATGGATAATGTAAGTTTTTGTACCATGGTACTATGGCATCTCTTATTATGTTTTTAGGATTAGAATCTCCAAGTTGAGGTAATTTCACGCTTACGACAAGCTTAATTCTTCTATCTGTCACAAGATTCCTTGGGCGGCGTGCAGCACGAACCTATTCATGACCTCTCCGAGGAGTGTAATGTCTATATGTTAGGCTGATATAATATGTTACATGCTCACGCTGCGTCACTTTTGTCGTATTAAATGTCATTAATTACTTGAGAAGTTTTGGAGGACCGCATACACTATCAAGAAGCACATGCTCATATGCACACTGTAGTCCTCCAAGATTTGTTATTTAAAATATTTCCCAAAATAAATGATGATTCCACCACAGTACACGTATGTTCGGTTATTTTAGTATTGATGATTTTGCTCTGTACTTTCTAGGGAGTTCATTGTGTAGTATCCCATTCATAATATCCATGTATTAGTTAAAAAAATAATTTCACTTAAATTGTGCCACATTCTTTGTGCTGGCACACAAACATATTGAATGACTTTTGAGCTGTCTTAGAAAATGTCAGTTCCACAGAAAACCACAATGAGTGGAACTAAAACAGTGGCAGAAAATCCTCACCCGCGTCGTGCCTGCATCCCTCATACGGCCCATCCAGCCTGGCAATGATGCCATTGGGGCACATGACTGCTTGGTATTTGGTGCAGTGGTACCTCTTGTGCCCCGAGAAAAACTTCCGCTGGTGCCACGTCGGCCGACACATGGCCCTGGCAGTACCGTCGACAAAGCCCCAGCAGTTCGTTAATGGGGCTCCCTGGTTGTGGACGGCCTGAAAAAAAAAAATAAATAAAGTGATTGGTTAAAAATATTTTTGCTGATGTTTCGTTGTGCTTACAAAGGAATCTAGACAGATCACAGAAACAAAATGTGACAAAGACGTCCTATCACATAATTTACTTGACCTAATGACGAGTGTAAAAATACAACCCTGAAATTTTAGCAGCACAATTTCTTTATTGGTTACATACATTTTCTTATTCAACTTATAATGATTACATTTGCAGTATACCTGTAACATTATGCTATAAGCGATACCCGAGTGCGAAAAATTAGCCTCTCATTTTCATTCAGTTTGCTGCACTTAAAGAGAACACTGAAAGATAGCCGACTACTAAATGGGATACTGGTGATAGTCAAGCGATTTATGCATTTAAAAGACCGGCCAAAAGAGCTTTTGACTAGAAGTCGTCTTGTGACTATGATTGTGCCAGTATTCAACTTTTCGAATAGTAGTTCTAAATATTACGCTATTCGATATTTACTTCGATATGAACTGCGATATTCCTCATTTTCAAGCGTTCATTGCGGCGGGTTCGCCCAGTTGTGCGCGCTTCTTACCGCGCATCGGTGCACTGCGGAGAAGCACAACTGCGAAGCTAGCTTTTACGGATGTTGCTTTTTCGCATTACACGGATGCTCGAAAAGAAGCACACTTAACGGGACTAAACCGCCGCGATCAACATTGGAGTTAAATAAAAATAACTTCGTTTAGGCATAAACAAGCGGAAGCTTGGGTTCGATTCCTTCACAAGTTCAGCTGGGTTTTTGTTTTACACTGTGCAGTAGTGAAGGGCTCAAAGAAACTATTCGATATTCATTTAAAAACTCTTCGCCCAAAACCACTATCCGCTTCTAATTAAAAACCCATCATTCTCACGTGAATAATTTTGATTAAACGTTCTGAGCAGTTCTCTTTGTGATATATCATCCTGCCTGTTCCCTTTTCACCAATTCTGGTTTTAGAGGGATCTTTTGGGATAGCTATTTTAAGTTCAAATTGTGGATTCGATATTCCAAAACATTTGTAGTCTTGTGTTTCCGGAGGATGTTTTCTCGCGGAGAACTTTTTCCCGGAGGATGTCGTGCCAATTGTTACAATTTTTATAGTGCCTAAACATTTTAAGGACGTGTGTTTTTGTTTTCGCAAGTTTTCAAACGTTTTGCAGCACTCATGCATGCACGCGCGGGATCTATAGGTGTTTTGCAGTTAGAGCTACCTTCTTATATAGAAGAAATAGTGTTGCTCACCTCCGCAAAAACGTCAAGCTGGTCAGGGTCGAGCCAGCTGTGTGCGGTAAGATCTCTCAGCAGGTGACCGAACGTGTGCGCGATGTGACGATGCACCTGGTTCGAGACGATGGACAACGTCGAGGAGTGGCGGCCGAACATCAGCTCAAGGTCGCAGAGGCGGTTGGGGTAGGCCAGCCTCCTCAGCCCGATCGCGAGGGCCTCGTCCCCTGACACCCGGACCCAGCCGTTCGTTGTCAACGTCTCCGGGATGCGCAGCGCCGATCGGAGATGGGGCAGATCCTCCTTTGTAAACCTGAACTGCCGTACGACGTCCTCCTCGTCCATCGAGGCCAAGTTAAACGTTCCACCTTGCCGCCAGCAAGCGCCTTCTCTTAGTGCGCAGACAGTCGTATAAAAGAACTTTTTCTAAATTATTTTCGCCGAATAGAGCCAATTCCAAGTCATCGTCAAAAAGATCGAGCGCCATTCTTGTCGGAAAGCTCGTCTGCTCCTTTAGCAGACGAACATTTTAGAACTTCGCAGTGCCAGTGGCGACACGCCATGGGGCGCCAGGTTTTGCATTACGGAAGCGCATTCATTCCAGTAAAAAAACGAGACGAATTATAAGTAGGTATACAATATTTTAGGTTCTTTATATATTTAGGGTGCGATCTTTATTTACTTGAGTTTCTGCGATTTGTACAACCACACGCCGATTTGTCTTTTCTCGATGAGGCGGATGCAAGTTTCTGTTGCCAGGGGGCGCGACCTGTACCGATCGTCTGCTATCGTCTGCAAATACGGTTCCCCCAAAGCCGTTTCAGGGCACACGATCGGTCCACACGCCCGATCCGAGGTATCGATCGTTTTTGTTTATCGATCGTATTTTGTTCCGGTTCCCTAAAACTCTCTAATGTGTCGTAGCGCTGCGAGAACGAATTGACTCGGGGTGTTGAAGATGCCGCTTGGGAAGCCATGCAACAGGCCGGAGTGGAAGAAGCGAGGCGCGCGAAGGAATCTGGCGAGATCGATGCCGAAGGCTATCCGCTTGTTACCGTCGTTGCAGACTGTGCGTGGTCAAAGCGATCGTACAGGCACAAGAACGACGCTCCTTCTGGTACGGTAAGTACTACATTTCTTCCTCTAAAAGGGGCGCGAATTTTGATCGTAGATATAATATACATTTCTTTAGAGTGCGTTCGAAAGAAATCCGAAGCATGTTTTTCTCGCCGCGAAAATACATTAGTCTCTGTCGCTAGGCTACATTTGGGCGGAGGCTGAGCATTTGGCAATGCGTAGTTTATTTTTATGGGGAGATGACCGTGGTTAGAATCCCTCTCTGTTGTATGTGTATTTCTGTGAATGCAAGATTTGTTTCGGCAACTGGGGTCCGACGATTTCTCACGAAGCACTGGAAACAGTTATGCTTTTTGTGTGCCTGTTTTAGTGACCGCTGTTTTATGTACTATACATTCCGAACATACGCGGTGCCTTGCAGTCATTTCGTCAGACGACGTTTTAGACAGCTCGTTTCTTCGAAGCTGCACTTTTTCAAGGATAAATCGTTCCATCGGAAATAGCCGGCGTTCGTTTCATCGATACACCTTGTTACGTTTCGTCTAGTTTTTCTATTATGTGCGTGCTCGCGCTTGCGTACGTAATTGCGCGTCCGTGTCTGCTTGCGTGTGCGCCTGCATGAGCGAGGATGCTTATGTGCGTGCCCCCCATGCACATGCGTGTTTTCATGCCTACGCGTGAGTATATATACCCGCGTGTCTGTGTGCGTGTTATACGCGCATGTGCGTGCGTGTTTGCACGCGTGGGCGTTTGCCTGCTCATAAGTGCGCGTGCCTGTGCGAGTGCGCGCGTGCACGTGCGTGTGTAATTCGTGCGTATGTGTGCGCGGGTGTGCTTGCGCGTGTGTACGTGAATTTGCATCCGTGCCTGCGCATGCATCCGCGTATCTGTGTTCGCGCATGCGTATGAGTGCCTAATTCGTGCGTGTTTGAGTGGGCGCATGCATACTTGGGCGTACGTGTGCCCAAGTACGCACGTTGTCGGTCTTTGCGGGAAAGGTTCGAGAAGCTCGAACCTGGTCGAACTCGAACGTCGGTTGGTTCGCGACACCTTTAGTACTCACGTTGCGGACGGTTGGTGATTGGCCGCTGATAACTTCACTGTAACTTTTTGCTTTATGTTTAGCGCCGTTTTTTATATTTCTATTCGTGCGATTGTAGTCTTTTGCGATTAAACTCTCTGTACCCTTTTCTTGTGACCTATGAAACGATCTCGAACGCCTCGGACAATAGCGACGCTTGCGTTCGTTCTCGGGGCTAGTAGGCAAGGAGGTTACAAGTATTTATATGACGTCAGACTGCCTTTTGATACCGAGTCACAACACAGAAGTATGGCCACCGAAGGCAAAAGCAGTTATCCCATTGGCGAGTTTGCTTTGTCTTTCATTTATCACAACTCTCGCGAATCAGTTTTGCTTTATCGTTTTGTGGTCATGTTTCTGGGCGATGACTCAGCACGTGACTAGACCCTATAACCGTTCATGGTGTTTTTCTCTCCTTTTATGTTTTAGATTGAACGATTCTGCTGCAGTGTGGAACGAACTACACGAAAGTGCTCAACCTTCTACGAAGTCTTCCGAGGAGCAGAACGTGTGGGGATCAGGACTATTGGAAGATATGTTCTCAAGTCATGAAAAACTGCCCGGTCGCCAATCATTACAAATTATCTATGAAATACTATAGGAAACAATCAGTGTCGTGAAAAATTGTATAAAAATACTTTGTTGTGCAGTGCTTGTGGCTAGTTGTGATGAAGTAACGAAGGTATATGCCGGTAGTTTGTCATATATGTTTTCGATTATGTATTTATCTTAAAGTACCTAATATACAGTGTTGTTTTTACTTAACTGGAACGTGTTTTTCTTTTAAAAGAGAGGGAGGCATTTACCTTAGTGCCGTATTCACTGTGCCTTTAGGGGGCTCGGCGAACATTACATGGGAGATCATTGTAGCGATAAGCTGGGTGGGTAAATAACTAAAATCTGCTAATCAAGTTTCCCACGAGCGGGTTTATAGCTCGTGTTGCAATTATATATTTAAAGTCATTAGACGGTAAATAAATTTGGACGTATTGCTAAAACCCAAAGGGATTTTAGGTATCTAGGTTTTCAGTTTTTTTATGGCCAAAACATAATTGGCTCGTTTGGCCACGGGAATTGCAGTACCGCTATTTCTGCATAGTTGAATAAAGCAATCACTCGCTAACACATCGTACAAAATAAATAGCGTGTTAATTGCAAACACAATGTTTATAGTGAGAAATAATATTCCGGAGCGCCTCACGCGGCACAGATCATTTGATAGTGTTTCATCAATGTAATTTATGTAATACAGTATCGCGAGAAATATATTGTGTAATTAAAAAAATATTTATTATATATTGACAGTGCTACTGCCGAACTCTCCACGCCGGTCTACCTGTAAAGACGGATTTTGAAGTAATGTCTTGTGATTGTCCTTGTCGCCTCGTGTCCCATGTGTTTGTAGTTGACAAGTGTTTATTTGAATCTACGGTCAGTGCATTCAACCGTACGTTCAGTGCAGTTTCGCTTATTTTGCTCGAATTATTAAATTTGCATTTGTTTTAATTTTTTTCCCTTTAGTTGTGTCTGTGCGTCGCTGTTTTTACTCGCATGAACACATATACAGGGTGATCCTCGAATCAGCCGGGACCCCTTCAACCGTCGCCGCGGACCACAGTTTGAGAACCGTTGAACTAAGATGTGCTAAATATCTCGAGTTAATTCTGTGATTCGTCATGTTGCAACTGCTGTTTTAGAGACAATTAATATGGGCGGCTTTATCTTGGCAGTGTACTTTGAAACGAGTTTAAATTTATCCTACTCGGAATTCGTTTTATCGTTTGGAAGAGCAAGGCTGATGGATTTTTACGACTCGTTATAGCATGAATGAACTGGCTTAGAAATAATTACTGAACAGTGAGAGCGTCTCGTGAATTGGACTATTGGGGAGCGGATCGAAATATGGGGGCCGCTTTGTCTAGATTGTTGTCCACACAGTTGGGTGTTTATTTTGAGAGCATATACGTTGGTTATGCTCTGCAAGAGCCAGACGAAGATTAAACATTGCGACGGCGAGACGCAAGCCCCGCTTCGCCGTACGTGACGACGGACGATGTTCTTTCCCACGAACAACGGCAGTGCCTCTTCAAACCGAGAGTACTGCGCGTGGTTGCCCGACCGATCCTCGCTTCAAACAACGTGCCCATTCGCGGAGCGAATTTCTTGGCCGTTGCACGCTCCTTACGATGGACCGGAACTGGAGCTACAAGTCGTAGCAGCCAATCCAGCGCATATGAACGTACCACGCGCCTCGTGCTTCGTTGTGTCTGTCCTAAAGCTGACGTGACGCTCACGCGGCGTTGGATTGGCTCCGATAGCTGGTAGGGTCCTCTGCGGTCCATCGTAAGGAGAAACGGAACATACCACGACACGAACCCGGGGCAAAGGAGGGTCGAGGAAGAGAGGTAACGAAGGGGGAAATAAATAAAAACAAAGACACGCAGAGAAAGAATGAGAGAGAGTGTGAGGAGACCCGTCCGCGCGCGTGGAAGACCTGCAGTTGTCTGCGCCCGCGTTTACCCGGCAGGCTTTTGCGGGTTGATTTTGCGGGGAGCAGGCGTTTTTTCTTTTTCTTTTTTGTCTCGCCACCGTGAATAGGGTGCCTTCGTACACATTCGCTTGTGCGGAGTGGCGACATCTCGGCAATTTCACTGCCCAACCTTTTTTTTTTTTTTTTTTTATGCAGAGTATACGTGCTTTGGCATCTCTCGGTGCGAGCCCGCAATTTTGGCTATAGACGAGCGCGCGAAGACCGCCCTGTTTACAAACACGGTTTTTGCTTTGCCCACACCGGGTGTGGGCACTGCGGAATCGCAGCGTCTCGTTTTTGAAGAGAAGCCGCCTCTGCGTGGTGCGCCGTACTCGCGGCAGCGCCACCGCAGAGGGACGGCGTCGGAGCCGCGTGTCAGTGTATATACTTCGTTTCACGTCATGTGCGAGCGAAGTCAAAGCTAGAAGCGCGAGCCCAAGGCTCCGAGCGTGCCGGCTTCGCACGTGCGTACGTGCACCACAGGCGCTGTTACAAGCAGCATGCTCGCGCTTGTAGCGTTGGGTTCGCTCGCCCATAAGGTGAAACGAACTAGCCTTTTGATACCATATTCCCTCCAGAAGTTGATTTATAAACCGGGTGTTCTTTTTTTTTTTCTTTCTTTCT